AGTTACATTTACTTCTGAAAAATCATAACTTAAGTATAAAGTTATTTTCCAGCCGGGTTTGAATTAAATTATTGATACACTTAAACAAATTCTAGACACATTTTAAAAACACTTAAGATATACTTCAAACAATATTAACACTTTTATTTAATGCTGAATTTAATGAAAGATTTTTTTCATTACTTAAAAAAGTAAAATCTTATCTTAAATTTTCAAGATTCAAGAACCCATAGACTATAAAGAATGAAAACACTAACAATATAAACTTGAACCATAAGCAGTACCTATAAATGAACTTTCTAAAATGATAAGTAGACGGTATAAATTAAAATGACATAATAGCTTTAGTATTCTTATTAAAATTTAATTTCTGCATGTATTTATAAATAATATTATTATTTTATAACATTAGTTTTAAATGTATATAAGATACTACTATAATTGGGTACTATATTATTATTTATTTTTAAATGAACTAAGATAGGTATATTATATTATAGTATAGTATATTATAATTATTATGAAATAAAAAATATATTGTATTGGTTGAATGTACCTAATATATGTAGATCAAAAGGTGAAAAAAGTTATAAATTAACTAACTTAAAATATTAAATATCTAACCACTCACAACYACAGAGGCATGAGACGCTGAATATAACCCCTGTATTTACTATTATGATGATCACAAATTGCTATTACGATAAATAAAAATAATAATGGCGAGTTTAAGTTTTGGCACATGTTATTAAAAATCTCAAATGGGGCACTGCTCTAAAACGATTATTTTCTGAATAATAACGAAATTGATTTTGTTAAATTTGGGTGTGGCATAAATTGTAACATTTTTCACTATTTTTTTTCTGTGTTAAATTATTGGTGTATAAGTAATGATAGACGATAAAATAGTAGAGTAAAAAGTACATGTAACCATCCACAGCTAGATGTGTAATAATATTCACTATTGTGTATTGGTACTAGGTAAATAAAATTATTATATAACAATTTATATATAACTACTGAAATTTTAAAATTATTTTATAATATGTATACATTATACCTATATCGATGAACATTTGACTGGCATATAATACCTATATTTGTATACATTTAAATATATATATATATATATATTGATATTATTTTTATAGATAACTTTTCTTGCAAAATATATTAGTATACATAATATAAAGGTTGCATCATTTACAAAAAACTGACAGAACCCACAAACAAACCAAAAAAGGTAAAAATCCAAACACAACACGCGTCCCCACACGTCGCCATATATCCAATTTACCCTCGTCCGGTCCATCATACTCAATATAACAGCCACCCAACTTACGTCCAGAACTCCAGATTCAACGTCAAACATTTTAGACGAATTCAAAACATTATTTAATCTCTCTACTAACCAATTAAACATAATCTTAAACAAACTCTCATCAAAATTCCCTTAACACTTAACAGTCATTATTCCCAATATTAAATGTCTTATCCATAAACCTCATTAAAATTATCTTTATTTAATTCCCCTGCTACCTATATATTGTAATATATTGTATAATATCTGAAACCATAATCTCGATTTGTTTTGTGTATACTCTATACATCACTAATTACATAAAATAAATGTCATAATAGCTATACTATTATTAAATTTTAATATTGTAGTTATCGTGATGATACATTTTAAATATGATAAATAAAAAATGTATTTATATTTTTATATAGCCATATAGTTATAGTTATCTAATTAGTTAAAAAATAACTTTTCATAACTACTCTGTTTAAATATTTTGTTCTAGAACGTACTGCGTGTCCGTCATATGGTTGGACAGAGGAGGCCAAGTAGATCATGTTCAATATTGATATGGGGTGGTTTTCTATTGCTTTATGCCGCGCTAACTGCAATCATAGATTGTACTCAAAGCAATTGGACAAGCACGACAGTTATTCCATTGTCGTCAATTGTCAAGCAATCTTCATCCGCAGCCTCTGTGACCACGGATGATACTTACGTGACTGGCGACGTCCAAACAATTCTTCCGACACAATCGCCACTTCAAAATGAAAACCAAACTACGGAGAGCACTTCGGTATCTATTTATTATTACGATAATATTACAGTTATAAAATACTTAAAAATTAAAAATATATAATTTTTAACGTCGTTGAAATTTCATTTGTATATAGACGAATAGTTCATTGTAGGTATAAAATATAAATTAAATGCATATTAATAAATTGTACTAAAGTATAATATACTATTTTAGAAAATAATACAAGTTATAAAAATCAATATAATATRAATATTTTTCAATTTTATAATTATATTTATGTAATATATTATAATAATTGATTATATATAAGTATAATGTGACAAACATTAAAACCAAATAGTATTTATGAAATAAATGGTTCTTTAGATAAATATAAATCAACAATACTCAAATATCAATAATACCATCAATTGTAATGGGTGGCTAATTGTCGCTCTAATTATTTTTTTAATTAAAGCGAATAATACCCGTATTGGTGTTTACATGCTTGAATACCACTAAAACTTGTTTCTCACTAAAATTCACAATGCATAATATCCTTTAAAGAATAAAAAGTACGATAATATTTAAGTGTTAAGAAACTAGTTATTAATAGAAATTATATTTTATAAAATAATTTGAATAGTAAACTATTTTTAATTTCAGTATTATAAATAACAATATTTTATTTAAAAAAAACATACAACCTACTTAAATTAATATTTTAATTTTTTACCRTCGTGACAGATAAACAATAAACATAGGTACTGCARGCATACTAACACATCATACTTTATAGTTTATATACTATCATGATCATASTATAAAAAATAAATATAGCACGCAAACMRTTTTTAATGTACGTATGTATAACATAGAGTTTTTATGATAATACATTACAGTACCTCAATTTTTCTGAGTTTTTATAGAACCAAAGTTTGAAAAATAATTCTTATTGTTTTTACACTTAAATTAAATCTGAACAATTTTTCATTAAGTGTAACTAAAACATATGCTTATTATAACAATTATTTTATACCAAGTATTGAAGTATACCTACTACCTAAATTTAAATTTATCTCAGTTTTTTTTTATGTAAAGTCCTTTCACAATATTTTAAATTTCTTGTATTGCCTTATTCAATGTAACTGAAGCGACGTTAAAACAATAAATCCAGGAGAAAAAAACGCTTTTAATTTACATTCGATAGGCTTGAAAAATTCCTTATATCATCGATAAAAAATAATATCGTGATTACATTATATATTTATTCGTAACAATTAATAGACTATGACTAGTCTAAGTATTAAGCGTGTATATATATATATATATATATATATATATATATAATATATACACCCATTTTATAATTTATTTTAAAATATAGAAGGTGATTATTTTAACAATAAACACTGATTATTAATTCAAAAATAATTTTAAAAATGTTGTGTACCAAGATTGTAGTAACTACAATATGATAGTTCCTACGTCACACCCACCTTCATTTTTGTTACACAAAATCTAAGAGATCCTGTATTAATTTTTCCATGAATAATATCGTAAAATTATAAATTTATTTTACATAATTGTAAATTTGTAATCACATACTTTTGAATTTAATTCAAATAAAATAAAAACGTAATTTTTCAGGTTCTAAATACAGCAAATACAACGACAATTATTAGCGACGATTCGACTGAGAAATGCACACCACCAGCAATAAAACAATTCCCAAGGCCTTTTATGAGACCCTCTGTGAGGCGACGAGGAGGAATATTAATCCACATAATTATATGTATTTATAGCTTCTTAGGATTAGCAATCGTATGTGATCACTATTTTGTAAAGTCACTGGATAGAATTTGTGAAGGTAAATATAATTATTTCAGTGTGTCCTATAGAATAAGTTACAGGGTAATCTCCCATCAGAATATCAGATACCTCCGAATAATCAAAAAAAAATTAGCCACAGATAGTGTCCGGTATTTAGAGGTTTTTCTGTATAATATAATACATTTATAAACCATAATTAGGTTTGACTTAACGCTTTGAAACATTAAAACATATTTATGAACCTATTTTTAATAAGGCTGTAGAATTATATTTTAAGAATTGAAATATGTTTTGATTATAACGTATTGTATTATTTCAATAATAAACTAAACAAAGTGTAATTAAGAATATTAAAAGCTTAAAACGCCAATTTAATGASTATATTTTTAATCAATTAAGGTCATAATTTTAAAATTTCAATTTTTTTTAGAACTGAAAGTAAGCCCCGATGTCGCGGGTGCAACATTTATGGCGGCAGGTAGTTCTGCTCCTGAATTGGCTACCGTTGTCATTGGTGTATTTCTAGCCAAAGACGATATAGGCGTGAGCGGAGTCATTGGATCTGCCGTTTTCAATATCATGTTTGTCATAGCTGTTTGTGGTTTAGCATCCACAACCGTGACTTACCTCAACTGGTGGCCGCTTTGCAGGGATTCATTTTTCTACACTATAAGCATACTCATCATGCTGTTAGCCATTTACAATGAAACTATATCATGGTATAAATAGTTATAAATTATAAGCCCATTTGATTAAAACACTATTCATAAATCATAATTTATAATTTACATTTGTTTAATGTTATAGGATCGAAAGTTCTATGCTCCTTCTGGCATATGTCATATATTGTGTGGCGCTGTATTATAATTTGTACTTGGAAGCATGGGCCAATACTTGGAACCTCCCTTTTCCACCAAGAAATCATGGACAAGTTATTGAATGCTTATTTTGATACAATATTTAATTGTACCTAAATAATATAATATTGTGTATTACAGATAAACGAATTGTTTGCGGATCAACAAACATCAGATATCAAAGAAGGCCAAGAACAAATTCAATTGACCGGTACTAAAAGTCCGATGGGGTATGACACTACTGGATCAACAGGAATAGACCAACAAGAACAAAATCAACAGCATAAAAATCAACAAACACAACAAAATCCAGACTATTATATACCTAAGGTGTATCATGAAGCTGATGAGGTGTGTATAATAATTTGTATACCTATATACAGAGTGATTTTTTTATCATGAACTACTCATTATTTCAAAAAGTATCAATGTTTTTGAAAATATTTTTTTTACAAAGTTTCATGTTGTTAAAAAAACAACGTTTTTATTAAAAAATTATGTTTTATCCTTATAATTTTTTTAAGTTTTTTACTTTTTTGAATGACAACCTAGAGTTTTAATTTTATATTCCAAAGCAGAATATTTTTCTAAGTATTTTGATACGTAAA